GGGGGGGGGGAGGGTCTCTGGCCTCAGGGTTGGAGCCATGAAAGAGGGCTTGTCGTAGTCTGGACATGAGGAGAATCTCAGCAGGGGGAGGGGTTGCCGCAGCCGAGGGCAGCGAGGGAGTCTCAGCAGAGGTGGGGCTAGATAGGGCTGTTGTAGACTAGGCCTGGGGAACAGGGCTCTCTCAGCAGAGGGAGAATGGGGAGGTCGGCCTTTGCCCAGGCCTGGGGGGATGTGGGAGCAAGGATCTCAAGGGGAGTAGTGGAGGGTTGGAGGCACTGTGCGTTGTGGTGCTGAGCAGGGGGCCACCGGTTTGCATCAGCCCCACACATCTCACCCAGCTGCCTTCTCAGGGAGCAGCCAGGCCTGTTTGCATTGGCCAGGGACCCTGGGAGGAGGGAGAGTTTGCTGCAGGGGGGAACCTTTGTCCCAGTGGCACATCTGCCTACAGCCCTTAAATGGCCTGCACCCTCCCCCAACCTGCCAGCCCAAGGTCCACCAGCTGTATTAACCCCTTCACTGCCCCAGCCCACTGTTTAAGGTGGGGTTCAGAAAGACCCCCCCCTCCATTCAGAGTGGGTTCCAGTGAGAAAGGTCAAAGGAGGAGCCTGTTGGGAGTCAGTAGGGAGCACCCTTATTGTCCCAATGCCCTAGTGTAGCACTAGGGGGCGCTGTGCTGCAGGGAACAGAGCAGGTTCTCAGTAGGGGGCTCTCTCCTTATGTTCAGTGTTGCCCCTAATGCCCGGAGCACAGTGCGACGTGAGGGGCAAGGGGCCCGGCAAGGTCCCCAGCTCCCATGCGTCCAATCTCTTTTTGCAGACTCCTGATAGCCATGTCCTTCTCCAGCACCAATCTCAAGCTGGAGCGGCTAGAGGAGCAGCAGCTGGAGGGCCCCAGCTACCAGCTTAGCCTCCAGAACCCAGCCAGGGGCTGCGCTGACTTGCCGGCCCCTCACCCTGACGGTGATCTCCTTTCACAATGGCTGGGCAGGGCTGTGACTCTGGCGAGTCCTCCCAGGGAGATGGGGAGGTCCCAGCAAAGAGGGGTCTGGATCCGGAAGGTGCCAAAGAGTTTGCTTGGGCCAAGCGAGCCCGGGTAGAGAACATTGTGTGCAGCATCAGCGGCTCATACCATGATGGGGGCCTGGAGGAAGCGAGTGCCGGGTACCGCCGCACCCACCGGGCCCAGGAGCGGAGCCAGCTCAAGCAGCAGTTGGAGAGGATGCGTGAGCAAGTGTTCCAGCTGCAGGAGAAACTGTGCCAAATCTACAGCGGGATGGCCCAGGAGGAAGGCAGCAATGTGGGGGCAGCCTGGTCCCAGGAGCCAGGCAGAGCTAGAGCCAACATCCAGCACTCTGGGGAAGGGAGTAGGCACCCTGGCACCCTGGCCGAGGCCCTGAAGGAGGAGCTTGGGGCAGCCGTGACCCAAGTGGTGGACACAGTCGTGCAGGTGTTTGCCCGCCAGCAACCTCCACCGGAGGAGCCTCCCCGCAGTTACCCCAGTGACCAGACAGAGGCACTGCCTCTAGTGGTGAGGAAGAGCCTGCCCCGTGGCCCCCCTGAGCTGGTGGCTGGCACCTTCCCCCAGCCCGTGGCTGTACCCCCATATCCAGTTGCCTTCAAGGACAGAGCGGCGGGTGAGGCCTGTCCTCTCCCCACCTGCTGCAGCCACACTGTGCCCTCTTCCAGCTGGCTGGGCCCACTGACCGCCAGCTCCCCAAGAGCCAGGCCACAGAGATGCACCATGGTCTGGAGCCAGCCCTCTACAGGCCCTCAATATCCTTTTGTAGCAGCCAGGACGGGAGAACAGGGAAAGTTCTGGTCCCTACGCCCCACTTCTCCCACACACTCTGCCCCCAACTAACCCCCACACATTCACCCCACACACAAATCCTGTCCCCCACAGATCTACTCATGTACCCTGCCCCAACTAACCTCCGCACATTCCCCCCATGCACACCCTGCCCCAACTAACCCTCACACACAGATCCTGTCCCCCATAGATCCACACTCGTACCCTGGCCATCTCACCCCCACACATTCCCCATACATCCCCCTGACCTGCACACCCACCTAGCCCACAATTAACCCGTACACATTCATCCCTATACACACCCAGCCCTCCACTGACCAACACACACTGCCCCCATGCCCTGCCCTCATCTAACCCACACATTCACCCTCACACACCATCTGTCTCCATTGATCCCCCACACCCTACCCTGGCACTCTTCCCTGAACTAACTCACATTCACTCACATACACACACATTCTGACCCTCACCCATGCGTGTACACACACACACACACTTGCACACACACACACACACCTCTGCCTCCTTGCCCCAAACTAACCCTCACACTTGCACTGCCTCCACACACTACCTGGAACTAACCACCCCCATTCACTTTCCATGCGCACACTGACCCACACGTGCTGACTCCCACACTTTGTCCCTAATGAATCCCCACACATTCACTCACATACACCCTCCCCCAGCCCATCCACTCACGCACACTGCCTCTGCGCTCTGCCCCAGATTAGCCCCCACACATTCACTGCTGCCTGCGTGGTGTTTCCTATGGATCCCCACACAGACACCTGTCTGCTGAACTCCCTCACGCCAGCCCCCATCTCGCATACATATATTGACCCAGCCATCCACGCACAGCCCCATTCTCCCCCCCTGCACCCTTGTAGCATACACACCCATTCCCAGACTCCTGGCCTCCCACCTCATGCACCCCATACACTCACTGAGCCTGCTATCAGCTCAGCCACCCTCCCCTCTGGCCCTGCCCTGCCCACACCACACCTGGCTACCACCTGTGAGGTGCTGGCAGGGCAGGTGTGATCATTACCTGCTCCCACACTCCCACCCACTGCTAGTCCCCTGTGGCCTGGCATAAGTTTAATGGTTAACCAGGCTGAGCTGGACCCTAAGCCGATTGCACCAGCTCGGAAAGAGCTTCCTCCTGAAACCCACAAAGGACCTTCTGGGAATAATCCTTGGGATTAGTGGGGGTGGGATGCAAAGACACCCCTGCTGCCCCTTCCCCCTCCCCCCACTGCTTCCCTCCCTACACACCGTCCCCTCCCCGGACTGCAGCCCATCCTACATACTCCCTTCCCTTCCCCTCTGTGCTCTGCCCTACACATCGGTGCTCCATTGACTGTGCCCCCTCTGTTGACTGCGTCCCCCATGCTGCCCTCTCCCCTACACTTCTCCTCCCCTGAAAGCCCCCCCACTGCTTCCCAAACTCTGACACACGCACGTGAGCCGAGCTGGGGCACAGAGAAGAGACCGAAAGGTGAGGCTTGTGTGGGGAGGAGGTGCTGGGAGTCAGGACTCTTGGTTCTATTCTCTGCTCTCGGGCCAGGCTCAGAGCTTTCTTGGTGTGGGGGAGTGGGAGGGTGCTGCTCTCTGGAGGGCTTTGCACCAAGGTGTCCCCATTATAACCCTTCCCTGGTTGCTCCTTAACGCCGTCAATCCCAGGAGGGCCTCACCCCTGGGCACCTGAAGAAGGCCAAACTGATGTTCTTCTACACTCGCTACCCCAGCTCTGGGACGCTCAAAACCTACTTCTCTGATGTCAAGGTGGGTCCTGCAGAACCTCCCCAACTCTGGGATAGTTTAGCCATGGCCCCTCCTCTTGGATCCAGACCCCTTTCTGTATGGCATGTGTGGGTGCTCTGGCAGCATCCCCCTGCCCCATAGCCAGAAATGCTCTTAGGTGAACAGGAGCTGGGGCGTGGGGTCCCCTGGCAGCCTCTCCTTGCCAGGGAATGGGCAGAACATGGATCAGCCTCCTCTTTTCCCAGAGAGGTGAAGATAGCACAGGGGGGATTGGGCCTCCCTTTTCCCTGGGAGTTGGGGCAGGGACAGTGGGTCACTCCCCTGTTTTCAGTGAACTGGGGGACGGGGAGGGGATCATTGCTATGGGCAGGGCTGTGTTGATAGCGATGTCTCTCTTTGTCCTGCCGCCCCAGTTCAATCGCTGCATCACATCCCAGCTCATCAAGTGGTTCAGCAACTTCCGGGAGTTTTTCTACATCCAGATGGAGAAGTTCTCGCGCCAGGCACTGAGCGATGGGGTGCCCAGCGCCGAGGCACTGACTGTCACCCGGGACTCGGAGCTGGCACGTGTCCTCAACCAGCACTACAACAAAGCCAATGACTACGAGGTGCGCAGGGGCTCTGGCAGCAGGGAGGCAGGCAACATGGCGCACACAGATCGGTTGGGATCTGGGAGGGGAGAGTGGGTGCAAGGGGAAGTGAGGATTGGGGAGGGATCCCGGCTGAGGTGAGGAGTGCAGGCCTGGGGTGAACTTGGGAGCAACCAACAAAAGAAAACTGACCTAAGGAGAGAAATAAAACAGCCCTGCTAAGACCTTTCCTGGGCCAGGCTTCACCAGTCCTCATGGGTGATGGTGGTATCTTGTATTTTTCCCCCCACCCAGATCCCCAGCAAGTTCCTGGAGGTCTCCCAGATCACCCTGCGGGAGTTCTTTAGTGCCATCTCCCAGGGCTGTGATGCTGACCCCTCCTGGAAGAAATCCATCTACAAGGTCATCTGCAAACTGGAGTGTGACATTCCTGATGCCTTCAGATCCCCCCATGGCCTGCCGGACACTGTGCACGAGTGACCAAGGGAGGGCTGATGCAGAGGCGGGGTCCTTGGGGTGGGAACTCTGGTAATTTATTGCTGATGTGATCCACAAGGTTGCTAAGTTGCTGGCTAGGGTAGGGATGACCTTGACACCTCCCACATTTCAAAATGATCCTCCCCCCACATAGCAGAGGAAGTTGCATTGGTAGAGTACAGTTGCATTGGGGTGTACAAGCCAGGGAGGGACGCCAGCAGTGGGGGAGATGGGCAGCATCGGATTTGCTTGATGGAGGAGGCAGGCAGCAGGGGGAGCACAGATGGGGAGTGGGGAGCTCATGCTGCACTTAGGGACAACAGAGAGCTTCCAGCAGTGGGGGAGATGGGCAGCATGGGAAGTGCCAGATGTGGGAGGCAGGTGGTGTGGGGAACACAGAGGGGGTGGGGAGGGGTTGCAGCGGTTGGGAAGGGAAGGTGGTGTGTGGAGTGCAAGCTGCTGGTGGAGCCAGCAGGGAGCTCCCAGCAGTGGGGGGACAGGTAGAGTGGGGTGTGCAGCCTGGGGGTGGAGCCAGAGCAGGGATCCCAGAAGTGGGGGTTGGGGTAGGCAGCACAGGGAGAACAGACATGGGGCAGGTGAAAGTTTTTTCTTGGGGTGGGATCTGCAGCTAGGAAGAGTTCCCACGTGGGGCCCATCCACATGGTGAGCAGTGGGCGGCTTGTGTCAGAGGTGGAAAGTAAATAAGTAGAAATACTTCACTACGCTACTCAAGTACATTTTTTCGGTATTTGTACTTTACTCAAGTAATGTATTTTTGTGATACTGCGACTATTACTCAAGTAGGTTTTTTTGGAAGACACTGTACTTTCTACTCCAGTCCCGTTTCCGGAAGCGCTTAGTTACTCACTCCTTTCAGCACCCCATTGACAGCTGCGCAAGCCAGCATTCTGATTTGCTAAAGCACAGCCGCATGCGCAAAGCATCCCATGTTATGCAGTGACAATTTAAAACACAAATTAATCAACAGGCACCATGACCCTGCCAATGAAGAAGCCTTTTAATAGCCACATCAACACCTTTTCATTCAAAACCTGTATCTGTGTAGGGGTGGGGAGCCCCGAGCCTCACGGGCCAGATCCAGCATGATGGAGAGAAGAAGCACAGCACCGTGCTCTGCTGCTCCCCTTCCTCCGGCTGAGGGAATGTGGTGCTGGAAACTGCTCATGGAAGGGTTTCCTTGCTGCTCCCATTGGCCAGATTTGGGCCAAGGGGAGCAGCGGGGAGCAGCAGGGAGTGTGGAGCTAGGTAAGCACCCCCTACTCCCCTCATGGCCAGCCCCTGCACCCCATCCATCCCCCATACCTCCCTCCCACCCAGCTCTCCCAGCCCCAGTCCACTCCTGCACCCTCCCACCCTTCCAGACACCCCACCCTCAGCCCACTCCTGCACTTCCTTCCAGCCAGTCCTCCACTCCCAGCCCACTCCAGCATCCTACCTCTCACCCAGACCCCCACCCTCATCCCCACCTCTACCCCACTCCTACTCACTGAACCCCCCATTTTGACCTCACCTCAGAGCCTGGGTGGGGGGGCTCACAAAAACTACTAACCCTGGGATCCCAAAAGAGTTAATCTGGCCATTGGGAAGCCCTGAAGCTAGGTCCTCCCTGCCTCCTCTACCCTCCTTCCCCCACTGTGGGGCTGGAGTGCCAGGGGAGTGGGTGTCTCAGTTGGAGGCCACATCAGTGAGGGGTTTGGGTTTTTTTGGGGGGTGTTGCCCCTCACTGGTGTGGCTCATGATTGATTTTTCTGCAAATCAGTGGCCCCCAACCCAAATAATGGTGCCCTAAGATAATTCAGGTAGTTAATTATAGATTTCCACAGGACAGCTACTTCTTACTTCTGGATACTTGAGTACAATTAGGATGTGATACTTTTGTACTTTTACTCAAGTAGTTTTCTAGAAGGATACTTCGTCTTTTACTTAATTACATTTTTTCAAAGTAGCAGTACTTTTACTTTTTCAAGTACCTTTTTTGGGTACTTTTTCCACCACTGGTTTGTGTTACTGGCCCATGTCCATGGGTCTGAGGCCTATGGGAGGAGGGAATGGGACAGGGGTGGTTGGGGTTGGGGAGAGGGGCTTGTGCTTCCCAATGGATGTATTGCTGAGACTTCCTGCTCCCCCTGGATCCTGCCAATAAAGACGCATCAAAAAGCTGCTGTGTCTGTCTCCTGGGGCAGGGCTGGGATGCTGAGGTTACATTTCAGCACGTGCAAGTGCCAGATCAACCTCTGCAGAGGCCTGTGTGAGAGCCCAGAACATCAGTGATTCAACCTCCCCTGAGCTAGGGCCTCTGAATCTGGAGGAATTTGAAGATCGTGGTGCCAAGTGGCACTAGCTTGGGAGTCAGCACGCCTGGATCGGCCAAACTCCATGTGACCTCGGACTAAATCATGGTTCCTTTCCATGCCTTGATTTCCCCCATGCAATAGGGAAAATTACCATTCCTCTTATCTGCTTATGTTCTTTGGGGCACGGCCTGTCTCTTGCTGTGTGTTTGGGTAGTACTGGTCAAATGGGGCCCCCCATCTTAGTGGGGGTCTGTGCAGCACCTGGCATGACGGGGGTCCAGTCTCATTTGGGGTCTGTGCAGTGCCTGGTAGTGCACAATGGAGCCCTAATGGAGGTTGCCTATAGGGGCTACTGTAGACAAACAGTACCAGGCCTGAGACTGGAGACAAGCCTTAGGTGATCTGCCACAGCCTTTGAGAGGGCCCATGGGGCGCTGATTTGCTGATGCCCATGAGTCTGAGATGTTGCCAACTATCTGAGGGCTGCTGGGAAGTATGGAGAAAGAGAGACAGAGTGAGCTTTGGACCTGGGGATGGGGGAGCACCCAAAGCCTTCTCTGCTCTACCCCTACACTGCAAGCAGCGCTTCAAAGTGCCGCGCACTGCTCACAGGGCGGGGGCAGAGCGGAGAAAGCTTTGCGCGCTCCTGCACCCCCAGGCCAATCAGGACCTGGGAGTGGGAGAAGTGCATGAAGCTTCCTTCACCCTGCCCTGGCCTTGTGAGGAGCCTGCAGTACTTCAAAGTGTCATGTGCTCCTCACAGGGCAGAAGGAGGCTTCCCATGTTCCCCTGTCCTCAGGTCCTAATTGGCCTGGGGTGGGGGAGCGTGCCAAGCCTCTTCCAGGGCATAGGTGCCTAGTGGGAAGGGGAAGCAAAGGGGATCCTCCCACCCCCGGACCAGTCATGGTCTGCGGGTGGGGTAACCCCGCCCCTTCCTGTTTAGGCCCCGCCCCTTCTGGGGTGGCCTGGGATTATTTCAAAAAATTTTGAAGTGGGCCCTGGGCAAAAATTATTGCCCACCCCGGTTTAATTACTTACTACTTTCATCACCCCACTGCTAGTTGTGCCAGCCAGCATTCTCATTTGCTAAAGCACAGCTGCATGTGCAAAGCATCCAATCATCATGCACTGACATTTTTTTTAAATAGCCACTAAACAAGCACAATGACCTTGCCAACGATGAAGCATTTTAATAGCCACATCAAAACCTTTTCATTCAAAAAGAATATCTATGCAGGAGTGGGAAGCCCCAAGCCTTGCTGGCTGGATCTGGTATGTGGGGGAGAAGCATGGTGCCACTCACCCTTCCCCCATTTGGGGGAATGTGGTGCTGGAAACCACTCATGGGAAGGTTTCCCTGCTGTTCCTATTGGCCAGATTTTCCTCATCCCTTCTCCCCCACTGGCCCAGCTCTCCCAGCCCTTGTCTGCTCCTCCACCCTTCCACCCTTCTATACACCCCACTCTCAGCCTGCTCCTGCACCACCCTTCCAGCCAGTCCTCCACTCCCAGCCCACTCCAGCATCCTACCTCTCACCCAGACCCCCACCCTCATCCCCACCTCTACCCCACTCCTACTCACTGAACCCCCCATTTTGACCTCACCTCAGAGCCTGGGTGGGGGGGCTCACAAAAACTACTAACCCTGGGATCCCAAAAGAGTTAATCTGGCCATTGGGAAGCCCTGAAGCTAGGTCCTCCCTGCCTCCTCTACCCTCCTTCCCCCACTGTGGGGCTGGAGTGCCAGGGGAGTGGGTGTCTCAGTTGGAGGCCACATCAGTGAGGGGTTTGGGTTTTTTTGGGGGGTGTTGCCCCTCACTGGTGTGGCTCATGATTGATTTTTCTGCAAATCAGTGGCCCCCAACCCAAATAATGGTGCCCTAAGATAATTCAGGTAGTTAATTATAGATTTCCACAGGACAGCTACTTCTTACTTCTGGATACTTGAGTACAATTAGGATGTGATACTTTTGTACTTTTACTCAAGTAGTTTTCTAGAAGGATACTTCGTCTTTTACTTAATTACATTTTTTCAAAGTAGCAGTACTTTTACTTTTTCAAGTACCTTTTTTGGGTACTTTTTCCACCACTGGTTTGTGTTACTGGCCCATGTCCATGGGTCTGAGGCCTATGGGAGGAGGGAATGGGACAGGGGTGGTTGGGGTTGGGGAGAGGGGCTTGTGCTTCCCAATGGATGTATTGCTGAGACTTCCTGCTCCCCCTGGATCCTGCCAATAAAGACGCATCAAAAAGCTGCTGTGTCTGTCTCCTGGGGCAGGGCTGGGATGCTGAGGTTACATTTCAGCACGTGCAAGTGCCAGATCAACCTCTGCAGAGGCCTGTGTGAGAGCCCAGAACATCAGTGATTCAACCTCCCCTGAGCTAGGGCCTCTGAATCTGGAGGAATTTGAAGATCGTGGTGCCAAGTGGCACTAGCTTGGGAGTCAGCACGCCTGGATCGGCCAAACTCCATGTGACCTCGGACTAAATCATGGTTCCTTTCCATGCCTTGATTTCCCCCATGCAATAGGGAAAATTACCATTCCTCTTATCTGCTTATGTTCTTTGGGGCACGGCCTGTCTCTTGCTGTGTGTTTGGGTAGTACTGGTCAAATGGGGCCCCCCATCTTAGTGGGGGTCTGTGCAGCACCTGGCATGACGGGGGTCCAGTCTCATTTGGGGTCTGTGCAGTGCCTGGTAGTGCACAATGGAGCCCTAATGGAGGTTGCCTATAGGGGCTACTGTAGACAAACAGTACCAGGCCTGAGACTGGAGACAAGCCTTAGGTGATCTGCCACAGCCTTTGAGAGGGCCCATGGGGCGCTGATTTGCTGATGCCCATGAGTCTGAGATGTTGCCAACTATCTGAGGGCTGCTGGGAAGTATGGAGAAAGAGAGACAGAGTGAGTGCAGATAACTCCCCCCCCCCGCCCCCCGCCTGGATCCCCATTAATTAAATTGCTGCCCTGCTCTGGTGGCTGAACAGCTGGTGGTGCCTTTTAACTTCACAAATCCCCGGCCTGGCCCAGCTGCAAATGGCCAGATTAATACCCCCGATTAGCCATGGGGATGTTAGCTCGATGGCCTCAAAGCCCAAGGTGCTGCAGATCTCTCTCTCTCTCTCTCTGCTGGCAGCCCCCCCGCCCCCACACACACAGCCAGGGCTGTGGACTGGTGGCTGAACAGCTGGTGGTGCCTTTTAACTTCACAAATCCCCGGCCTGGCCCAGCTGCAAATGGCCAGATTAATACCCCCGATTAGCCATGGGGATGTTAGCTCGATGGCCTCAAAGCCCAAGGTGCTGCAGATCTCTCTCTCTCTCTCTCTGCTGGCAGCCCCCCCGCCCCCACACACACAGCCAGGGCTGTGGAATCCTGTCCCTTATCCCCTGTGGGGGAGGATTCTCAGCAGAAGCTAAAGGTGACCTTGGCCTGCACAGTTGCTGAAGGATTTTCCCCAGGCTTTCTGCTTAAAGACACTAGCTAGAATTAGGTGGCTAACAAGTCTGGGGAGAGGCCGAGTGTGAAGTAGATGGGGTGGAGAGGTGACCTGAGGGACAGGGTCTGTTGCTGTAGAGCAGAGGGGCTCAGGGGCCAGGAATCTCCTGTTTTGATTCTGAGGGGCTAGAATTTGCCAAGGACTCTTAAAATGCAATAATTGGTGGCCACTGTATGGGGAAGGAGGGTGAGTGAGATCTTGGATGTATCCCCAACCCCTGGTGCGAGGGAGTTGAGGGATGGGTGATGGCTGCTGCTTATAGGAGGGGGAGTCTCTACATTAGTACTGAGATGTGGCAGCTGTTTATACAGGGATCCTGGTGCTGAGATGTAGCAGCCGTTGGGATGGGCACAGCAGCTGTTCATACAGAGCTCCTTCTCCTGGCCCCGGGGAAGCAGCTGTTTATATGCAGCTCCCTCCCTTAGCAATGCTGAGATGCAACCACCTCTGAGAGCCATTTATAAGGGCTCCTTTGCTCGGGGCTGGGATTCAGCTGCCTCGTGGGGTTGGGGGAGTGCACAAAAATGCTACCCACTGGGGGGCAGCAGATGCAGCACACTCCTGTAATCAGCTGCTACGGTGGGAGGAGGAGTTGAGTGGGTCATACTGGTCATACTTGAAGGCTCTTGGGAAAAGCGCTAGGCAGGTTTCGTGGCCAGGAGACATGAGTGAGCCTTCAGGTTGGCAGTGCAGCTCAACATTGCACAGCACCTTCGCCAGAGCACCGACTGAGGGGAAAGAGCCCCTACTGAGCGCCTGCCCCACTCCCTGCACAGCACTGGCCCAGCCTGCTCCTGCCTAGCCAGCAGCTAGAGGGCGTGTTTACGCTGCACTCTAAAATGGAAATGAGCTATGCAAATTGGGCTATGCAAATTGCGTAGCTTATTTCCGTTTTATTTCAAAGTAGGCTATTTTGAAATTTGGCGCGTCTTCATGGCACCAAATTTTGAAATAAAGTGCTATTTCAAGCCACCCCTTATGCCTCCTGCAATGAGGTTTACAGGGATGGTGAAATAGCACATCCGTTATTTTGAAAAATATTTTGAAACTAGCCAATTAGCCCGTCGTAAGTCTTCTCTCCTGAGCCCACGTGGGTCTTCTCTCCTGAGCCTCCGGTCTCTCGCTCCGTGTCTCTCTCTCTCTCTCTCTCTCCTCCTCTTACTGCCCCCCCCTCTCAGCTCTCCTCCGCCTCCTGCCCCTCTCTCTGTCTCTCTCTTTCTCTTCTCCTCCCCCTCCTGCCTCTTGCTCGGGGGACCGCGGAGCCCAAACGGTCGCTTGTGCCGTTTGCTCCCGCGCGGCGGCCTGGCTGAGCGGCGCAGAAGTCAGCCAAGCACGGCAGGAGATGAAGGGGGGTGGGGAAGTGACG